AGATGGAGTCTTACACCCTTTCCGTTGAAAAATTCCTCGTGCCCTGCAGGAAGGGAGAGTTGTTACTCAAGAAATTCTCTGTTATTCTGGGGAATTTAAGCCAACATGCAGGAAACCCCAGCGTGGGCAGGCAGGAATTTAAAGGGGTAGGATGTTAGGAGCGTGGAGGTTTGCTCTGTTCTGCCAGTGTCAGGGCAAGAAGACAGGTGGGATCCGCCTCAAGAAGCCCCTTAGAGGTCTTAAATCGCAGAATTAGGTCTAATTGCTGGTGTGTGCTTAGATGCTTTGCTGAGTTGGAGCATCATGGGCCTGAAGCCAGCTGGGCTGGGGGTGTGAGGCACGGGGACATCCCGGCCCTGGCACCTGGGACCCCCCCTAGAGCACTGCCTGTGCCCAGGTGCATTCAGCCCTAACGTGTTCCTCTGTCCCCCTCTCTCAGGGACCTCATGCCCAGGACCCTGGAGGGGCAGATCACCATGGAGAAGACCCCCAGCTACTTCGTCACCAAGGAGGCCCCGGCCCGCATCTCCTCCATGTCCAAGGGCACGAAGCTCATCGTGGTGGTGCGGGACCCCGTGACCAGAGCCATCTCGGACTACACCCAGACGCTCTCCAAGAAGCCCGATATCCCCACCTTTGAGAGCCTGACCTTCAAAAACAGGACTACGGGCCTGATCGACACCTCGTGGAGCGCCATCCAGATCGGCATCTACGCCAAGCACCTGGAGAACTGGCTCCTCTACTTCCCCATCGGGCAGATCCTCTTCGTCAGCGGGGAGAGGCTGATCAGCGACCCCGCGGGGGAGCTGGGCAGGGTCCAGGACTTTCTGGGCCTCAAGAGGATCATCACCGACAAACACTTCTACTTCAACAAAACCAAGGGCTTCCCCTGCCTGAAGAAGGCGGAGGGCAGCAGCAAACCCCACTGCCTGGGGAAAACGAAAGGCAGGACCCACCCCGACATCGACCAGGAGGTGGTGCAGAGGCTGCGGGACTTCTACCGGCCTTTCAACATGAAGTTCTACCAGATGACGGGGCAGGACTTCGGCTGGGACTGAGGCTGAAAAAAATAATTTAAGAAAAGGAAAATATAATATAATATATATTTTTTTTACATATCAGTAGAAAGGGGGAAAATACAGAAAAAAAAATAGTTGTGCTGAAACATGATTCATTCTGATTTATTTTTTTCTTTTGACACTGCCTTGGTTTCTTTCTTCTCCAGAGGGGCGGTGATGTGTCCCACCACAGAAGGAGGCTGTGAACTGCAACCTGGTCCTGTTGACATCCCTGAGTTTTGGTTGCTTCCTTCAGTGGGCCCGAGGGTTTGCACTGGCTCTGTTAAAAAACAAAAAGCATTCAGGTGCAAAATTTTTCCATGTCTTCAGGTCCACCCTCAGAGGTGAGCGGGCTGCACGTGGGAGCTCAGAGCCTGGCACATCAGCCAGGTTTTGGCTTGCAAACACCATTTTAGACCAGACCTTGTCACATTTGACAATGAAAAAATGGTGACGTAATATTTAATTTGGTTTTCAAAACCTTACCTTAGGATATTTTTATTGTATGAAACCTTTGAGAATTTTTCATTTATCCAAATTTTGTTTGACTGTTGCTCCTCCACTAAATCAACCTCTTTTCATCAACCAAACTTATTTTTCATCTTATAGGAGCCAAAACCAACGTTCCTTCGGTTTGTTTTGACAAAAATATTTGGTCACCAAAAGTGTAATAAAACTAATGATTCTTTTGACTTTCCGATGCAAAGTGCCAGGTAGTCAAAAGACCTCATTCATGGGAGCTGGCTCTAGACCTGTGCTCCCCATCCCCAGGAACGTGCACCCCTCACACCAGGCTGACCACAGAGCGCTTCTCCCAGTGGGGCCCATCTGAAGGGAGCTGGGTGATGGGCAGGGAAGGGTCCACACTGAGATGATGCTCATGGCCCATCTCCCTGGGAGATGACGGGAGACCCGCCATCCCACCACTCGTACGCAGGAAACAAGTTTACCGTGTCTGGCGGATGATATTTAAGCCATAATGAAGAATGCGCTGGGTTGGGTCAGTCTGAAAAGAAAAATGGTGGGGAAAGGGTTGTTTGGGAAAAAAATGAACAAAAATCACATCCAGAAACAGGGGAGAATAAGGAGAGGTAGCTGGGATGGAAGGTTAATTGTCCTTTCCTAAAGGAGAACCGAGGGGGAAGCAGGAAGAAGAGCACTGACTGTGCAGGGCTTTAAAAACTGTCAGGCAAAACGAATCTTCTGTTTGGCATAACCAGGAGCTTTAAATTCCTTTCTTTGATCATTATCACCTTTTTTTTGGCCAGCAGAAATGGCTCAGAGACAAAAATCTATTAGTGAAGCAGGATCTTGTATTACCGCGGGCTCCTTATCTGCTGCCTCTTTATCTTCAGCATTTGCTGGACTAGAGGAGCACCCAATTATTTCCTGGTGCTGTGTAACAACACAATTATGTTCCCTCGTTTAACTCTAAAAAGCCACTGATGGGGTAGAGCAGACAAAGTGGGGATCAGCTGGTAAATCTGGTGAGGAGGAAGCCTGGGGTCCCTGCCCACAGGCTGCTGGCACACCAGGCAACATCTTAATGCAATCACAGCAGAGATTTCAAGGAGCCCAAGGAACACTGCAGGATAACCAGGGCTAAGACACAGAGGATGTATCAGAAAATGCCATTCAACCCAAAAGAGTCGTTTCCACCTTGGCTGTCCACCTTGATGGGTAAGGAAAACAACTGAGGGCCAGGACAACCTCGTGGCAGCCACTGCCACCGCACGTGATGAGCCACAGCCCCTCCTGGCTGCCTGGAGCCGTCCCTTCCCTCCCATCCCTCTGCTCCTGGGACACCACCGTACTGTCCCTGAGACACAAACCCAGCTGGTTTTGCACAAAACCTTCCCACCAACCCTTCCCAGCCTTTGCTACCCCTTCCCACCATCCTTGGCCAAGGCACAAGGCCGGAGGCTTTCCAAGCTGAACACAAGAGTCAAGCAGGTAGCTCCTGTGGTGTTTCAAGGAGGCTTGGGGTTGGCTAATCTGCACAGGCTTTTGACAAGTATAAATATCACTTTTGTATGATTTAAAAAAATCAATATAATTATATTGCCACTGTCTCTCATATGGTCACATTTAGACCAGTATAAAGCTGCTTTGTGGTGCCTCAGATTGTTCTTCCCACATCGAGCTAGCTGTAGGAATACAAAGCACCTTCCTACAAATGAGATTCTGCAACTGCCACCAAATCACTGCCATTAAACCCAGATAGTTTCGGTGCGTACACAGGCCCAACTATCACACGTGCCTTTAAAACACTGCCCAGCACACTGAACTCAACTCCATGGGCACACCTTCCCAAAAACGCTCTGATGCTTTACTTCCATTAATTTCTGAGGCTTTGACTCCCTCGATGCACACCTAGTGAAACTATTTGGGGATCAGAGGCTGTAATTGATTTTTTTGATCTGGGCCCTAAGTATTTTTGAAAATCCCTCCACGTATGAACAATGGCTTTTAAAAAGAGGTCATGCAATCAAATCCCTTTGAACTCTAATAACATTTAAGCCTCTAAACTCTTCAGGCTTATTTTAAAATCCAGCCATGAAGTTTAGATTATTTTAACCTAAGAAGAATTGGAAGTAAACTGTCAAAACCTGCAGCCCTCCTAGGCCCACAGGATCGAGCATCTGTACTAGGAGGAGAAAGCAAAAGCAGCTATAAATAAAAATGAAAGTGACCTATAGTGTGCTTAAAAAAAAAAAAAAAAAGGCAGAAAAATCAATACATTAATGATAAGAAGCTAATCAGGTATACTTAAGTCCTTCTGGTTTCAATAATCCAGCGTGCCAGCAGGCACTGATAAAGCTTACGTTTATTACACACCACGTAACACTTGGATTTTTAGAACATTTGTTTTAAAAGCAAAGAAAGCCATAAAACACCCTGAATGTTTCAGACAGCTTGGGTTTTCCTTTGCCAGTGCAGTTTGGCAGGACGCATCCCAGCCTCTGCTGCGGCTCCTGGTGCTGGGATTTTGGGAAGGGCGAGGACGGGCTGTGGCCACGTCGCAGTGAGCTGTGTTCATGCTGCGAACGTCATTGACTCCCACCAAAAAGCTGCCACCTGAGAATTTATACAGCTAAAAGGAATATAAAGGCCAATATGCCATGAAGATCAGCACAGGAGGCTCCTCCAAGTGGTATTTGGGGTGGGCTCTGGGGTGCAAAGCCCAATGGCCAGCACATTTGTTGATGCCAACCTGCACTTCATGGTCTTGATGCTCATCCCTCTTAGCCTCCTCGGTTCTCTCGCACACACACGAGCAGATACAATGTTCAGTCTCCAGATCTGGGGAAAAAAATGCCCACTTTCTTAACCATTAAAAAAAATTCTTGTTCATATATAATGGTTTCTGGGTTTTCTCTCCTCCCTCCCCTCTGCTCTGTGATATTGTCATCTTTCTCCCTTTGGTGCTATTTCAGTATGAAACAGACTGATTTTAATTTAATTTAAGAATGAAAAAGCACACATTTAATAAAGTTTACGGGTACTGAGAGGCTGTGCTCTCTTTTTGCTGGCGGCAGCAACCTGGAAAGAGTGGGGAGGTTTGGGAAAAGAGGGGAAAACACAGAATCAGCCACTCACGTCAGGTCCAGCTTGCAAAACCGATCGAGCTGGGGGGGCTCTGCCTGGCTTGAACTCCCCAGCTCAGCTCCCAGCCTTGTTGGCATTGTTCCCCCAGCTTTATCTTCCACTTCAGGCTTCTCCATGTCTTACTACTGCCTTGAGACAGCCAAACACCTTGAGAAGTCAGGTCCTCGCAGCTCTCCCTGCCGTTCCCCCTTAGCCTGCCATGTCCACGGTGCTTTGGCACCAGCTTTGCCAAATTTCTGCTCCCCCTGACCCCACCGAGGAGCAGCCCCGGCTCACGCCACGCGAAACCCAAGGTGGAAGCAATGCACCAAGAAATACACACGGCACGGCAGCCCCCGTAGATCGGGTTTTCTGTGTGGTCAAGGAAAGCGATATTCTATTTACTTTTTTAGATGTATAAACAGATTAAGTCCCAGGGAAAACACGCTCCCAAACTTCATAATATTTTATTAAACCGACGAAGTTTAATATAATCTTTTGGCTTCCAGAGAAAAATGTTCCATTTCTTTTCTGAGCACCTTTGATTTTATTTTCTTTTAATTACTGTTATCCGGAGTTAACAATGTGGGTTTTGCACTCCACCCAGCCAGGACTATCCAGATTAGACGTGGGGAATTTTGCTGAAATACAGAAATGTCTATGCGGTGGTAAGGAGTCAGTGACGCCTGGGTGGAAAACTCTGGGAAAGCCAATGCGTAGAATGAATTCCCCTTAGCCAGGCAATAACAAGGCTGCATTCCTCCATCCACAGCACTTATTACCTAAGACATTGGCCAGCAACGTTCCTGAAAAAAAAAAAAAAAAATCAGACCTCCTTCATCTTAGTGCCTGTCCTCACCGCTGCTCGGCGGCTGGAGCACGGCTCCTGCTTGCTCCATCGTGCAGGCAGCACGGCTCAGTGCTCCGTGGGGAAAACCCTCCTAAATTCAGCTCTGACGCTGTGCTCCGGCTCAGCATCACTCGCTGGGACCACCCTTGGGTGCACCACCCAGCCGGGTGCTCAGCCCGGGACCTTGGAGGAGCCCAACGAGCCAGCAGCACCCTATGGATGGGACGAAGGGGCTGGAAGCCAGCAGAGCTTTCAGAAAAGACTCAGCGCCTGCCTTTCAGCATCGTTAAATACTATTAATAATGGTAATAATCATCCGATGGGTCTTAGGACAACTGGGTGATTTCTGGAGGGCGAAGTCGCTGCTTGGAGCATTACCTGAGGTCGTTCGCACAGCAGAGGAGCTTTAAAAGCAGCTTATCAGCCACAAGTACGTGTTCCCGTGCCAAACTTCCTTGCTATTTCCTCTCTACAGCAGTCGCAGGCCCTAATTTGTGGGCCTCGTTAGGAGAACGAAGCAAGTTATCCAAGAAATACATTTGATGTCACTGAAGAGCTGCCCCACGGCCATGTATGAGCCCTCCCAAGCCTCCTGTCCCTGCCCAGAAGCCCAGGCTGGTGTCACAGCTGCTGATATTTTGTTGGGAAGCGTAAACCCTGCAACCAGAGCACTGCTGCTGGTGGCAGGTCCTCCTTCACCCACACCCAGCACCTGGCCTCCGTGGTTTCCTCCATCAGCGCCGGGTAACGGCGGTGTTTGAGACAGGATTAGCCCTGCTCGGTCACGGTTTCTTCAGCTCATTCCTTTTGTTCTTTCACCAGCAGCTGTGATTTAGGGCATGTGAGCAACATCTGAAGGCAATGACTGAAAGGTATCGGCTGGGGAGCACTTACCTCCCCGCGCACGGGGCTTATGGAGCAGAATCAATACATTTTCTATCCTGCTCGCTGCCAGAGACCCCCTACGGCGGGGCACGGAAGGGAAGGCAGCCGAGTAAAACAATTCTCCTGAGAAGGACAAGTTTAGGAGCACAGAGGAGCGGGGCTGAATGCACTGCATCGACCGGGCAGACGCAGTCACTGAGCTAATTCCTGGCCTCTCTGCGCGTCCCAGGGGTCCTGGGGCGGCCAGCTTCGAGGTGTGCTCCAGTGTTTGTGCTTTTACCACGCTGCATTTCACCTCCCAAGCAAAAGGAGGCTTGTTCAGCACTCAGAGGGGAGATCAGGGAGGCAGCCACAGGTTTATAATGCTCCCGGTGCCTACAACAAATGCCGCGGGGCACTTCTCGCTGATGGCACCCCCGGGACGGGCAGTGTCCATCTGGCTGTGGGCTGGGGACACTTCGCAGCACTCCTCCGCCTCCCGGCCAGGCTGTAGCTGAGCTAATGGCACGCAGCCCCCAGGGTCGTTTCCTCCAGACGTGGGCTCCTGCACAGGGCTGGCTGGCGAAGGGCACAGCTCCGTGAACAGCTCCTGTCTGCCTGCTCCAGTCCAAGCGCCATCAGCACCGTGCCCCCCAGGCTGGAGCATCCTTTAAGCGCGTCAGGCTGCACTTCCAGACAGACCAGCTGCCACCTGCAGGAGGGGGTGACTGCTATTTAAGCCTTCTGCTTGCACAGCACAGCACAGCCCAGGAATCTCGGGGTGCTCTGCCTGCAGCAGCCCTGCCTCTGCTCCCCGGGGGGCCACAGCAGCACGCGGGGCTGGGGGCTGCGAGTGCCAGCCCCCCAGTAATGGGAACAGCCTCCACCCACGATGGGGACCACATCACCAGTTCAGGAAAATCCCTCTATTTTTTGGAATTCCAGATGTTTTCTACCTGTTTTTATTTTATTTTATTTTATTTTTTTTAAAAAAAAAAAAACTACTTTGACCAAAAGATCATTTTAGCTCAGCGAGGTTGCCCCAAGTGAAGCCACAGCCAAGGATCCCCAGAAATGCCTCTCACCACCTGCCATGGGTATTACAGAGAGAGAACCAAGAGCATCACCAAGACATGATTAAAAAACAAACAAAACAAACAAACAAAACAATAAAAACAAACAAACAAAAAAACATACTTTGGTTCCATTTGATTCAAAACCAGTGTTGGTCTGAGGCCCAAGTGCTCCACTTCACATAATGAGAAGATTCAAGCTTAAGTAAAGAAATTACTGGTGGCTGCCCATGCGAGCTGCTGGCAGGGCTGGCTCGCTCAGGGCATGGCCAAGTCAGCCTGGGTAAATGGGATCTCTCTGATGTAGCTCTGCACGAGCAAGAGGTGCCACACGAGCTCCACCTGGCCCTGGCTGGCACAAGCAACGTCTTCCCGAGCAGATCCCGGTGTAAGGGGGTCTGGAGGATGCTGCTGGAATAGCGAGACTGAGCATCTGCATCACTGCACCCGTCAGCAGGACCCAAACCACACGTCTGGGCTTTCATCGCCTCCGAGGAGGTTACGGCAGGGAGGACAGCAGGAGCCAGCCCTGCCAACACCACGGGATGCTGCAGGGACTCCGACACGGCTCGGGGCTCGTCCTGCTCTGACATCACATTTCGTACCAGCTTTCCGAAAGGGAAAACTGTCATACGCTTCCACTTTTCGAGGAGCTGAGCTGTCCTTTAGATACCAGCTGCCAGCATAAATATACATCAGAAACAGGTTTTGAGTTCCTGAAAAACGTCTGAAAATTGTAAACACTTTCCAAGGCATATGGGGATAAACAGTCAGAATCTCAATATTGTTTATAGTTCAAAAAAAAAAACAACAGTCGCTTGAGTTCAGTCAAGCCAAGCATTTTGGATAGATAATTTTTAAACATTTGGTTTCAATTCTCCCAAACCTTCAGCAAAGAAGCCCCATTCATGCAATACTTAACTTACAATTCAACGTATTATGGTCTAGAAAGATGGATGTTTCTATTTCAAAAAATAAATGGTCTCACATATTGGACAATCTTGGAACATGCTGTCAGAAAATAAAAGAACAAAAAAAAAAAACACTCGGCTGGGAAATTTGTCCAGGCTGATCTTCTCCTGCTTAAAGTTTAAGTTATGTTGAATTACTTGTTTGTTTTTGTTAACAAAACTAAGAATACTCTGTCAGAAAATCCTGAGCAGTACCATTTGTCAGCCTGAGCGCAGAAGCTTTCTTCCTTGGCCTCCTCTGGTCCCCAGAGTGCATTAAAGCATCCGTCCCTGACACCGGCCCTGCTCCCAGTGCAGATGCTTTGCGACTGGGCAGAGTGGAAAACAGAGCTCTTTAATTTCCTCTTTGCATTAGAGTTCATTAGGAGAAATCCAGAGTCACCCTCGCCGAACAAACCCCTGCATTCGTGTTTCTTCTGTGAATGTTCAAAGCGTATTTTCCTGTAGTTTTCTTGTCCCCTTTTTTGTCTTTTCCCTATGGTATGGAGACCCTACCTGCACCATTGGCGCTGGGCTCCCTCGCTGTTTACAATTAATTCCTGATATAATTTCTTTTTACTTCCTTCTCTGCACTGGACAGCTCACAGGGCTGTAATTTGCTAGTCCTGCTGTTAGGGAATTCTCTGTTTATGCAATTTGTTTATGCTGTTATGGTGCTGGTGGTTACTCAGACAAGGCACGTGGCAGTGCGCCCGTTCCCAGGCTGGAGAACAAATGTCTCAGGGAGCAAAAGGGACGAAGCAGTTCCTAGCATACTTTACTGAGTGCACTTTGGATGACTGGCTGCCCCTCCTAAAATTCATCAGGTCTGGGGCATACGCTCATTTCTTTAACCAGCATTTATTGCTAGCAGTTTGCAACCACCACATCCTGCTTTTTGATTATATTCATGAAAACAGGCGCGGATCTGGGCTTTTAAACACCATTTAGTCATCTCCATAACCAGCCCTGAGAACAGCCACCAAAGGTCAGGATAAATCATGGAAAGCGAGGCCGGGAAGTGGAAGAGCACCGGTAAGAAATAAATGCCAAGCCAGGCAGCAGCCAGGTACAAGCTTTAAGCTCTTTTACTCAAATCCACGGCTGTGCTCACCCGGTGGCAGCCGCCTGCTGTTACCAGCGGTGTCACGAGAGCAGAATGCAGGGACCCTGCCCAAACTGAAGCCAAGCCCTGTATGAGCCCATCTGTGGCACAGAGGGGATTCTGCACTTTTCTTCCTGAATACCTGAATAGAAGAGGACAGATTTGTGCACTCTCGGTGCTGCAGAGCACCCAGCAGGCACGTTGCTCTCGGCCAGCCGCTGCGCTCCGTGCCGGCAGAGCCATGGGCACGCGCCTGCCCGTGTGTGGGTGTAAGAATCTGGAGCATCTGGAGCTCTGGACATCTGAGAGCTACTGCTCTGAAACACAGGGGAGGCAAGAGGACAAAAAGGACTCCCAGCTGTTGCACTTGACTTGGTATCAGGCTCGCTGCTACCTGTGTGGCCCTGGCAGAGCGCGGGGGCTTCTCGGAGGCAGGCTGCTGTGCTCCTGCTGGATCCATCCAGAGATACGGAGCTGGCTGCTGGTCGGGGAGGAGAAGCCAAGCTGCAGCTTTCCCCTCCCAGCCCGTGGGCTGTGCTCCAGTATCTCTGCTGAGAGAGGGAAAGGGGTTTTTATTAGGCAAATGAAATAAAGACTGAAGGAATGGAAGGGAAGGTTCAAGGAGCTACAGGTGGGGAGACACCAAAAAACTAAAGCGCAGCAGCTGTTCCAACAGGGCTTGCTCTTGTCACTGTGCTGTCAGTCCTTCACAGCCCGGCTCTCTGCTCCATCCCTGGCCTTGGAGCAGCACAGATCCCCCATCCCAGCCCTGCCACCCCCCCAGCACCCCCAGGCACCCCAAGCAGCAGCCATCACACCCCGCATGTCGCCGCTCGGAGCTGCCCGCACCCCCTGCTCGGTTAAAAACCCGTCCAGCTCCGTCAGATGTGGGTTTGGGGGATTTCCACGACTGAGTTCAAATGACTGAGCTTCAGAGCGTAAGAATTGCTCTGTACCTCTTTAA